TTCCTGGAAGTGCAATCCAAGAACATCTGGGGACCCCATCTGGAGAACCACTGCTTTAGACCACAGGCAAGAACATGAGGGTTCAATAGCAATTACGTGCCAAAGGGAAAGTATATTTAATGTCATCCTGACACTACAGTCTTCCCCAGTTTGGTGTCACCCACATATACTGGAATAGTTATCCCATCGTCCCTAGCCTGGAGCTGATAGGAACCGTAGTCTAACACATCTGAAGAGGATTAGGTTGAGGGAAGTCACTATAGAGAACATTTGCAGAAGACATTTATGAAAGACATTTCTATGTGGTGCTTTTTCAGGCAAACAGCTTTGGCCTTCTCCCCTCCCCGGCAGGGGGAAGAAGGAGGAAGAGGAGGAAAGACAGCATCAGCACAAAAAAAGAAAAGAAAAGAAAAGAAAAGAAAAAAGAAAAAAAGAGGAAAAAGTATCCTTGCTATCTGTAATCACTGATCAGAGATAGCAGGGACTTCTCTTCCAGATGAGAAGAAGTAGGATATGGAGGACAGAGTCTTGGAAGCTTTAATCAACTTCTCTCTCTCCATTTTGCCTGCATGATGTATGCAGAATATTCTCCTCCAGGCCTGCTTTCATGGTGGTTTCCAACTTATTGCCCATCTCCCTCTTTGCTTTAAACCAGACACTCTCAAGCCTATCTCCTTGTGAAGGAGCGATCTCATAGGTCCATAACGTCTTTGCAAAGAAACAAATAACCAGCAAGACAAAGAAACAGTGAGGCTTCGCTTGTGCTATGGCTTATGAAGAATAAACCTTGGATCTGTTTGCAGAGCAAAAACTTGAATCCTGACCTATATGACCACATGGAGAGTGAATTTTCTTCATTACTATTAACATACAAGCTGGCTGGACAGCTCAGTGGCTTAGATATGTGGCTGCAGAGCCAGAGGCTGGGTGTTTGATTCCCCCCATTGTGCCTCCAGGGAGAAGAGGCAGCCTGTGTGGCCTTGGGGAAGCTGCACAGAAGAAGGGACTGGTGAACGGCTTCTGTGTATTCGCTACCTAAAGCTGCACGGAAGAAGGGACAGGTGAACGGCTTCTGTGTATTCGCTACCTAGAAAACTTTGAAAAAGAATGGCCATAAGTCACAATGGACTCGACAGCACATGATTATTATGACAGATTATTAACATACATAATTTAGTACATTTAAAATTAAGCATGCAGTCTTGGCATGACTTTTGCACATACCTACTTATTTTACTAAGGGAAGTGGAAGAAGGGACAGGTGAACGGCTTCTGTGTATTCGCTACCTAGAAAACTTTGAAAAAGAATGGCCATAAGTCACAATGGACTCGACAGCACATGATTATTATGACAGATTATTAACATACATAATTTAGTACATTTAAAATTAAGCATGCAGTCTTGGCATGACTTTTGCACATACCTACTTATTTTACTAAGGGAAGTGGTGGCGCTGTGGGTTAAATCGCAGAAGCCTTTCTGTGCTGCAAGGTCAGAGGACCAGCAGTCGTAAGATCGAATCCACACGACAGAGTGAGCTCCCGTCGCTTGTCCCAGTTCCTGCCAACCTAGCAGTTCGAAAGCATGGAAAAATGCGAGTAGACAAATAGGTACCACCACGGGGGGAAGGTAATGGCGTTCTGTGTCTAGTTGCACTGGCCACGCGACCACGGAAGATTGTCTTCAGACAAATGCTAGCTCTATGGGTTAGAAATGGAGATGAGCACCGCCTCCTAGAGTCAGACACGACTGGATAAATTGTCAAGGGGAAGCTTTACCTTTACCTTACTTTACTAGCGTAATATGCTGTCAAAAATGTACCCTGTCTCTGAAGAATATGGCTCCTGCTTTGCTCTTTGTCTGCTTTCTAGTAGCTCTTAAGAAAAAGTTTCTTCCCCTGACAATGTTATGCAAATGTTCCACATGGAACACACTGGAACAGTGTCCAGCCCAGAAATTTATTTTTAATACCAAGCTGAAAGCAAAAGGAGTCCTCCTTTCTCACAGTCACGGCTAGTTTACCCGTCCATCTTCTTTTCAGCCACTTCTTTCCTTCCTTCTCTCCTTGACGGGTTATGCAGTTTTACTACCACAAGCGCATGACAGTGTACGAGAAGACCGTATTTCCATTCTTTCCATGACAAATCAGAGTCTGCCTTGAGCAGCCATTCACTAGAAAGGCCTGCTGTGCATGGGCCACCGAAATGGACGCAAGTGTCACAACCTGTAAAAACTAGAAGTTATCACACAGATGCTCAAAGGCAGATGGGACATGCTTTGACTGAGTAGCCGGAACATTAATGTGCTCTTGAGCCATCTAAAGCAAATTGCTTCTTTACTAAACATATGCAGTCGTAAACTCTTAAAGAAAAAAAAAAAGAACAATTAATTATAAGCATCGTCAGGGGAGAGGAAATGGAATGAAAAATTGAGTCTGAGTTATAAAAATAAGTAATTTTTGCCTACTTGCAGGAGGCTTATTATATTAATTAAACATTATTACAGTGAATGAGTTGGGGGAGGGTTGAGAAAGCTGGGTCTGGCTGTAAAGTGTTCTCTCCTGTTGCCTGAGGCCACAGTCATCCTCCAATATTAATCTTCTAAAGTACTCTAAATGCTGGAGATAAACACTTGAAATATGAAAATGTTTCTCCACCCCTTACCCCACCCTTGTATATACAATGACTTCATGTCAACCCAGAAATGTTCAGTAAAGGCCTAAGACTATGCTATTTGCTAAAGCAGACTCTTTTGTAAGTTTATGACACCACATCCAGGCTTAGCAGGGAAAGTCATGTGTGGATGTTAGGGCACCAGAGATGTGCACACCTATAGAAGACTCTCCTGCTTGATATTTGCCACCTTGCATGCTGTCTGTAGTTTCTGTGGATGGGAGGAACTTTTCTGGGCTGGGCTGACTGTCTATCTGTCCAGCACTAACCAATCAAATAGTATTTTCAGGCCATGCACAGTAATTTTAGGTACCTCATATAAAATATGTTTTTAAAGGATAGTTTATTTATTTGCAAAACATTTGTTACAGAAAAGGGAAAAAAAACAACAGAAAGTTTTAAAGCCATTACTGTCAATAAGGACTCGTTCTTAATCAGCTAAAATGAAAAGTATTCAACAGCACCATATTTCCTCTATTTTCTGTCTTTATCTGGCTTTGACTAGCGAGGGTGCATAACTCCACCTTTCAAAAAATCAACAGGATATTTCAATCCGGTTATCAGCAACAACAAACAGCCATACCAACAAGAAACAGCTGTCAAGGAAAACAAATTGCCAGTTTTCAAAACACCACCAAAGCAGCACTAATATTACTGGGAAATGCAGGGGAATCAGTTGGACTTACTGAATAGCCACATTCGTCACATACAGATGTTATTGTGATCACTGTCTCGCTCAAGTATCCCTCAGGGATAAAATTAAGATTCCCTTCAAACAGCAGACCCACGTCTGATGATCCTTGGATTTACGGCGTGAAATCTGAATGCATGTTTGTGGAAAATATTGAAGTACTGGCAAATGTTTCTTTGATGCCAGCAAACCTTTCCAAGTTCCATAGTAGATATGGGGAGAAGGAAGACAATCGATCTGAGATCTTATGCCTTTGTGGACAAGGAACAGATAATCAGCTGCCTGGGAAATCTTGGCCATCCAAACTGCCCAAGGGCCTAATCCTAAAAAGTCTCTGGTCCTTTTGTCCAAGGGCACCTGATCCAGCGTCATGATGGAAATGTCAAAACATCCAACTACCGCATTTGGCGGTGTACAAGATGACTTTTTGGTCCTGAAAAACATGCCTCCAAGTGGGGGGGTCGTCTTGTACGCCGGGTGCATATCCAGCAAACCCTCCCTCTCTCCCAACGAAGTCACTTACCTGGTAGTAAGACCGAGTAGAGCCCCGCTCCTAGCCTGGGAACAGCCTGACTCTAGCACTGAGCAGCTGACTGTCGGGAACAGCAGAGAGGAGGCAGCAATTCTGAGATACGATCACATGGCTGCTGCCTCTCAAAATGGCTGCCGCCTCTCTGCTGCTTCCTGACAGTCTGCTGTTCGGCGCTGATGCTGTCCTTCTTCCAGGAAACCCTCGCTCTCTCCCAGCAAAAGGAACCAGAATCACACATGCGGAAGAGGGGGTAGTCTTATACAGCAGGTATATAACAAACTCTACATTTTGAGTGGAAATGTTGGGGGGGTCGTCTTATACGCCCAGTCGCCTTATACACCAGCAAATATGGTATGATACATGAGGGGAGGTGTCTTATGCAGGCCTTTGTGAGTTCTGGTCTCAGGGAATAATATGCAACCACACATCGCAGGAAGCTGAAAACCTAGCCTGAGCTAGGGCTTTAAGGATACAAGAAGGTGTACAGAAAATCAGAAAACAAAACAACTGTGCATGCATAAAACATAAAGGCTCCGGTCACCTAGTAGGAGCCAAGATTCAAACTGGCTCCAAACTCATCTGACTACTGAGAAATCCAGAGTGAGAATTTCTGGTACGTAGCTAACTCAGAACCAACCCAATAAAACGGGTGGTGGTGTTGGTGTGTTCTTTTCAGGACTCTGAGGGACCGTTCAGTTTTCACTGGAGGGGAAGACTGCATATTATTTTTAATTCACCGTGCATGTGAAAAGCCAGCAGATTTCTTAATCTGCTCCTAGGGATGCAAGCATTCCATCTGCAGCAATTTTTCGCCATGAGTCAGCATCCACAAATGTGATATCCTAGAAGGTCTGTGCCCTCTATCCTTCTCAACATATAAATCTGAATTACAATCTCTTTCTGTCTGAAAGCAATGTGGTATTTTTCCTTATAAACTGCAAGTGTATAATTACAGCGAAATCTCTGAAAGGACAGGATACTCGTCAAAATGCTGGCACACATTATATTTCTCAGGGGAAATTAATTCTGTCCCTCCTCCCCTCTCCCCACCTCCCCGGTTCCTACGTCATACATAATGTGTACGTTTCTTCAGAGATTACTTACCTGGGAAGGCCCCAACGCCTGGTCCCAAATGGCTAGTCCAAGTGCTTCTAGGATGAAAAGTCCATGTAAATCCTGTAGACGTATCATGCTTCCAACCACAAAGGTCTCCAGGAAGATCAAAGTTGCAGTTGAATCCTACAGGGATCTGGAAATCTTACAACAAGAACAGGACAACATAAAAACAGGATCAAAGGAGGGCCTGTCCACAGAGAAATGCTGCTTAATAGCTAACATAGTTGGCAAATCATAAATAGTTAAGAAAGTACGAAGTCTCTGGCAGACGTGCGTACATGTTCTCTCTCTGTCCACCTCACGATAGTTTTAACGTCTCGTGTTTCAGCAGCTCTGGGGGAATCAGTCTTAAGTTCCCATTCCACAACGTACACATACCTTTTAGCTAAGCAAATATATAAATGAGAGCACCAAATGTTTCCATTCTCTCTAACCAGCACTTTCTCTTCCTGGAGAGAACACCCGGTTAAATGCCAGGGCCTGATTGCCATATGCTCTGGCCACACTACATAATTCCCCGATGGTGCCTAAAAATAACGATGGTGGAGGAAAAACTCCAAGGAACTCAACATTTCTGATTTGTGAATAAAAATTGAATCACTACTCTATTATAGGGGGAGAAGAGAAGGATCCTCAGATTGGGATTCCTACTATCCTTGGCCATTAGCTATGTTAGCTAAAGAACTGAAGTCCAACACCTTCTGGGGGAGCTACAGGTTCTCTACCCGCACTTAATTCCTAATATTTTCCAAGGAATTTGATCTGGGTGTTTAGAATTATTTCAGGACTCTGACTTCAATGAAAATAGTTTAATCCTTAAGAGTCACTGAATAACAAGGGTAAAGGTCCAGGGGCCCTCTTAATATTCTCTGTTCCAGCCTTGCATTTTTCTGTTATGATTTTCTAGAAACTATAGAGTTTCATTTAAAACTGTAATGTAACCTTTGAGTATAATTATACATAGCTGCATCCTCTTTCATACAAGTGCAGGAAATGTGAGGAACGCCCAAGGATGACAATCCTCAGAAGGACTCCAGAAACTGGCTCCTATGCAACCCTAACTCACAACTAAATTTGGAAAAAAACCTTAGAGAATGGAAATCACAGCTATATTTTAAAAATAATTTCGATTGTTAACTGCTACCTTGTATTGTGTAATGATGCAACCCATAGACTCTTCTGTGAAATCAAAGCATCCCATAACAATTCATTTATGACAAAGGGCAGTCACACTTTGATTCAACACTAAGGAAGGAAAACTGCTTGTGGCCTGTATCAATTGAGACTGCAGGCGGAATCTCAGAGGATGAAACACTCTCATTAAAATAGAAAAATAAATAAACAACTCCAAATCTCTTCACATGGAAAATCAGCATGTCAGGAAGAAAGTTGGGATGGTACATGCCAATGGAAATTATCTAAACTATGGGATGCTTCTAGTTCATTTAAAAAAAAGAAGAAGACTAAAAGGAGGACTTCTCCCAGAAGTTACTTGAGACAGACTCTGTAAAGTAAAAATGGGTTGGACAAACAGATATCAAGTAGTCCTGGGTTATTTTTTTTAATTGTCTTTGGAATTCTCAGTGCCTGAAAAGGGGGTTGATAAAATAGTTATCTACTTGTAGATCTATTTTGGATAGATGCAATATAGTTCCAAAATTTTGAAAGAGGTAGCTGTAGTTCTTGGCCATATCAATCTTGGGATCTCTGGACTAGCTGTGGAACACGGGCATGATCCTATTGGCCCAATAGATACCTCCATTTTCCACACAGCCATCAGCACACTCTGTCGCCTCTTCATCGGTCGGAAACTGGGTGGTGATCTCCTCACTTTTCAAGGTGGGCTTCAGTGTCTCTGCAGTAGAGTTCACATCTGCAATTCAAAGGAGATGAAGAGATCAAAGAGTGAAACATATCCTTGGATTCAGAAAAGAAGTCAATTAGGTTAGCAATCCCGTATCCTGTATTGACAGAACACTTTAGCGAATGTACCCAAACCCCAGTCATGAAGGTCCCTTTTACAGAACAAGAAAGCCTCTGCATTTTTGTGAAGTTGCTTATTCCATTGTCTTTCCCCAGACAGTTACACTGAGTTACCGTATTTCTCAGAAACCTTCTCTTGAATCTAGGAGATGGTGAGAAGGTGAACATGGTTTCACCTGGGATGAATTCTTGCTCTACCCAAAGAGTTCAGATTAAACCACTTTGATTCATGTGAACCCTAGGTCTCAACTCTAGCAGCTGAGACCTAATTTTCTGCCCTAGAAAGAAAAGTTCAGACAGGCTTATTTCTCTTCCCTTTTGACCACCCATCAGCTGCTCTTGGGGGATGCTAACCTCCTTCTCCTGGCCACCATGTTACCTTACGGTACTCCTCAAGTAAAGCACCATAACGCAGCACGGTGACCATCTTGTGCTGAGCCAACAGGAGGAAAGAAAGGCAGGTAGCCAAGTGGACCCGTTGCAAATAGGTTCTGGACATAGCCTACAGTTTTATTAATGGAGACGTGTTTGGGAATTCAGAGGATAGCTCCCAGGCACAGGAAGTGTGCCCTGGAAGTAAGCCAGAACTAAAGGAGGAGACTCAAAACACCAGATGAATGTTAAGTTAACTGTCCACTTAACGAGTTCAGACTTGCAGCATGCAAAGCCAGGAAACTTAACAGGAAATTTTCCTTATGAGCAAGGTAATAAGGTAAGGCAGTAGAGGGGAGTCATGCGGTTTCTCACATGCCACAAATGTCAATATAGCTCAAATAACTTATAAAGCTTGATTTACAGATGTAGAGGAAATTAGGAACACTTTCATCTTTGGACTCCAGTGGACAACAATCTCTTTCATATTTCTTACTAGTTTCAGTTCAGTTTGATCTTTTAAAGCACATGTATACTGTTGTTTCAGAAAATTGAGATATCAAGAATCACATTCTTTTCTCTTCATAAAAGGAACACCACACACACACACATGAGAGAGAGAGAGAGAGAGAGAGAGAGAGAGAGAGAGACCCAAACCATGTCCATGCATCAAAACAAGTCTATCAACATCACAAATGACACAGCTTCGGAAGGAGCTGAAAGAATCTCTACTGTGCTGTGTCTGTTTGAGGAAAGCATCTGGTTTCATGCTTTGGCTGCACACTTTATCCCTCAGTCCCAATGTCACTCAGGGAAGGGAAAAAAAGACTCCAGGAAACTACATAAGTTTCCTAAAAGCAGGTGTCAAGGGCGATTTAAGCCACAAATAAATGCCATTAAGATCACCATAACTCATGAAATGAGCACATGTGATTTCATTTAAAGATAGGCAAGAACCGAGCCTGGAGTAATGCTTTGAAGACTTTTATTAAACTTCAAAATCTGCAAAAGGTTTGGGTGACATAGTATATGGACCCTGGTCCAAACACTGTGCTAAAAAAGAAGATCAAAGATGTTGTAACATGGAACCAGAATCTCAGAAAGAAGGAAAAGTCCTATTTTCTGCAACAGCAAGAAAACAAAACAAAACATTAATATCAACAAAAATAGTGGAAACCTCATTACTTTTGCACAGAAGTGCTCAGTATTTCATAATGAGCCCAATTAACCAAGGTTTTATGGAATCTGGACATTTTTTTGGTACTGATGACATGGAGAGACCTAAGTGGATATGACATGAACAAGTTTGTTTTAGGGACAAAATCAATGTATGTAGGAACCAGTACTTCTGAGTCTACTTCTAACGTAAGAGTTGCCAATATTGTGCAGATTTATTCTGAGTTTAAGGAAGGCAATCACATTTGTTTTTCTTGTCTTCAATTGCTTTCCGAAAAAGGAAGGAAAGAAGGAAGATCGGTTCTGAAGAATAAAAAATGAGCATAACATAAAGAGATTATGCACACAATTCTGCAGGAAAAGAGTTGGTATATAAATTTCATCAAAACATATTGTTGGCTTATCATTAAATAAAGTTAAAAGCTAGGGGAAACTGCACTTCTCCTTTCATATAATAGACCTTCCATGCTTCTTCCTACTAAATTATCCTGCAGAATGGATTTCAACAGCTTCCTCTGGCTCCTGGCAAATATCAGACAACCTCATACCTGCTTGATTTGTAGGTTTACATTTGTTACAGTAACATAGCACCCCAAAAGGCATCTGAAAACAAATGAAATGCATGGAATCGGAAAAAACAACTATTAAAAATGCCCACCTAGAGCTGAAATTCAGATGCGATAAAAGTCTTTTCTCCTGTGCTCAGAAATCTACAATGGAGGCTCATTCAACCATGTGAAAGATGTTTAAATAGGAAAACCCCATCTTGCACCTGCAGCCTCTGTTCCTGGCATTCTGAGGCTCTCGAGAGTCTTGTACGGCCTGTAGAGCTATACAGGTGTCAAGGCACAACACAGCAGAGCTGCCCCTGCAACAGGGCAGACCACATGCTCTCTAACAAGGGGGAGCAAGCAAAATGGTCTCACTCCTGCTGGGCAATGCTTGTGGTGCAACAAGCATCTGTGGGTCCTATTACAAAGCTGTCAAGCAATGGAAACCAGATGTTAGTAAGTTCAAAGCAGGGAAGACCAGTCACGAGCTAATGTTCGTCAATCTTCAGAGGAGGAAAAAAATGTTAGGTCCGTGAAACAAGCCAGCTGTTGACCTACTGTTTCAGTCCCCTCCTCTTCCCAACAGGCTGTAAGCATTAAATTATGTTTTGAGTCTAGTTTCTAGTGAGGCTACTTCAGCTATTATTTCTTGTTTTCAGACACTAACCTTTCACAGTACACAAGTTATGTCTGAAGTTGTCTCTTACTGCCTGTTCAAATCAATTAATAAAATCTAGCTATGGTGTCAAAAACAAGGCCAAAGTAACATCATGAGTCATAATCCCTTGAGGGTGAAAAAAACACCAAGGACTGGGCTGCAAACAAACATTTTTCTCAACCAGGCATAAAAGCCTTTGAATTTGGAACTCAAATTGATTTTTTTTAATGTGTTGGTTAAATCAGTTAGCAGGCCCCCTAGGGTGAGGCATAGTATGGGTGAGGGCCAAGTGAAGCACAAGCACTTCACAGAGGTTCCTCAAACCTTAAATCACCACTCTTCCAGTCAGAAGATAAACTGAAGTTCATATGCTGCCTCACCATGGCTCCAAGGCCTAGTCCTGTGGCGATCAATCTATGACTGCAAATCGCCACTTTGGACGGCAGGTCGGGACTTCCCATGCCCAAGTGGCCGTGGGGACACCATGAAACAGGTGCCAAGTTCAGACCGCGAGCGTCTCTACCAACATGGTGGAGAAAAGGGTAACAAGAGCAGATACATGACTAGGCTAGAACTCTTCACCCAGAGACTGGGTTTTCTTTGTGCAGGAATGTTTTGTTTTATGGAGGTTTTTCGGTCATATGAGCCCCATCTTGCACCTTGCTCCCAGTGTTGTTTGGTACTAGGGGAGGAAGCAGCATTTTTTAAAATCACACATAACAGTACGTAGTTGCTTTTATTTGTCCCATGTATATCTCACCACCTTTCATTCAAGATAGCACACATGCTTCTCATGTTACCCACACGACACCCCTGAGAGGCAAGTCAGGCCACTCAAAGGGTTACATGATTCACTGCAACTAGATCCTAGGTCTCCCAATCCCCACTCAAACACTTTAACTGTGATGTGAGGGGGTTACTCTCGCCATTCCAAACAAGTTGCCTGCCTTCAACACCCCCACACCCCTTAATGGGTCCAGCAGAAGTTCTGACACCCAGGCTCTAGGACGCTGCAGGCAGGGAAGCCAAGGGCCCAGGCAGGGGGACAGGAGCTAGAGGCTGAGAAGGCAAACCTGGGCAGGATGTGGGTGGACTGGGACAATCTGGCTGGGGCCAGATACAAAGGAGGAGGAAGGAGAAGGGGTGGAGGGTCATAAGCCTCAGCAGAATTAGAGGGAGATGAGGAAAAGAATCCCATCTTCTTTGCAGCAGGAGAGGTGGGCTACATGTTGGTTAAGAACACATAGGCAAGTGTCTAAGTTGAAGCCCCAGTGCCAAGGAATGCAGTGGTGGAGCCCCAGTTTTCAGCTGGTCACCCTCCCCACTACCAATACACACCCCATAGAGACCTTAATGATCAGTGGGGCAACCAACACCCAACCCAACCCAACTGAGGTACTGGAGATGGAAGTGCCAGAGGTGGCAGCATGAGTGGCTGGGGAGGCATGAAGAGTGGTGGTCAGCCAGCATTATAAGCCCCCTTTGAAGGGTATGGATTGGCTTGGGGACGTACTGAAGACCCTACATCACCAACAGACCACGGACAGCCTGAAGCCAATGCCAGAAACTCAGGTTCAGACTGAACTAAGCAGAGAGCTTAGGAAGGAAACTCAGCATCCCCACCTCCATGAACTGGAAGGATGGGATGCAGCCAATCCCTATCCCTTTCTTATACAGTACTCCATTCCACAACCCTAATAAAACCAAATTCTAGCAGCTCCAGAAGTCTGAAGCTTATGGAAACCATGACCGAGGATGGTATCCCCACTGCCTCCACCCTGGGCAGGGGGCAGTGATGCTTATATATAGTCAAACACTTTGCTATATCTACAGTCTTCCATCAAAGAACTTTAAAGAAGACAAGACATTAAATTATTTCCATTTTGTTTAAATTGCATTGATTATTTTGTCTTATTGCTCCATTTTATTGTATTGTATTATATTGTATTCTATTATTGTACTGTGTAAACCAATTAGAGTGGCCTGGGTTGCCAGATGGGCGGTATAATAGGTAGATAGATAGATAGATAGATAGATAGATAGATAGATAGATAGATAGATAGATAGATAGATAGATAGATAGACAGACAGACAGACAGACAGACAGACAGACAGACAGACAGACAGACAGACAGACAGACAGACAGATAAAAGTACACCAATTCACCATTCACTTCCTGATTCTTTTGTTTCCATATATTTTGCAAGACAGAGTATCTGTAATAAGTAAGGCTTATTCTAATATCACAAACCTCGTCCACTGAGACTATACTTTATATTGCACCAGTTTATAATGTGTATATATTTACTCTTCATGTGGATAGTGCTATACTTCTATCAGTGCAGCCTTAAAGGTGGCCACAAGATCACCCAGAAAGAAAGAAAACACAATGTGATATTAAGTAATTTTAGGTTTGTGGCTTACACATTCTTGTAGAATAAATGAAATCCTTGAGGCAAATTGCTACCACCAGTGCTGTGACATGAAGTGTATAAAGAGGAAGGCTGTCCTTCTGAAATCCCACTTCAGGCAGTTTATCAGTTTGTGTTTAAAGCTTTTAAATGTCCTGCTATTTTTGCTTTGTTTTATAATTTGATTATAAGACTTCGCTTGCAGTGTGCTATCACATAATTATGGAAAGGCTCTAATAACAAACCAATGAAAGACTAGGCATGGACTCTTAGAGCTTCTTGCAGCGAGAGCCCATGCAAGGAAAAAAAAATGCTTTTTACAGATGTGGTTTCTAAATGGAAAGCAAACTTCTTTTACTAGGGACATCTGGAAAGAAGATTGGATGTTAGACACATCTTAACAAAACAAGAGAGAAGGAATAAGTTTTTTGGCCTTAACAGTCAGCAGCAAAAATGATTCTGTTGTTGCTAGTCTATTCTATCTGGGTTTTTTGTCATTTCACATAAGCACTGGAAACTAGAAAGCTAAATGCAGCTGACAGTTCTCGTAGTTTATAGCTGCACATCAAAGGCAAAGATGAGCAGTTTACTTACAAAAAAAACCATGTAGGAAACATTTAGATTCTTTGCACTGACGGTGTCTCAAGAAGGGCCTAGAAAGTTACTTTTAATGTGAATGAATATAAATCATGACATGTTGAAGCCATCCCTATTTAACAATAGGAGAAGGCTCCAGTTCCCAGGTCATTGGTTATGGATGGCTTCATCCTGTTCTTATTCTATTCATTGTTCCAAAAGTAACCCTTGAAGCTCTAATCTGAAGAAGCATCAGATAGGAGAGTTCTGCATCTTTATCCACAGCCCACTAATGCCTAAGTCATCCCTTCAAATAGTGAACAAAGTTCATAGAAATGAAGCTTAAGTGGGGCCCATAACGAACAAGAGAGGGAGATATCACATGCACTGGGAAATTCCTAAGCTTGCTGAGATACAAGAAAATATTTTGGAGAAAAACCTCCGCGTGAGAAGGTAACTACCTACCCTCCCTAAAAGGTCGATGAGGCTTGAGGCTACTCGGTAGGCACAGAGTGATGAATGTCTGCTGGATGATGTAAGTGAAAGGAGTGGGAAATGGAATAAAGTATCAGGGCAGGGGAACAGCCGGCTAGCTGGAATCCTTAGCAGGACTCCAGGAGCTAGGAGAGGGAGGATGCGCTGCAACGGATTGTTGTCTGTTTCACTTGTTCAAATAATGCCTGGATCTGTAAATGTGTCTGAGAGTTTTATTGAGACCTGTCCATCCTATAAGTATTGGGAAGTTACATAACACTTAGAACTCACTGCCCCAAGCCTGGATAATTGCATGTGTTTGACAGAAAGAGAAAAAGAAAGACAAAGATGGAGGGAGAGAGAGAGAGAGAGAGAGAGAGAGTGTCAATACTTCAGAACACTATAAAACTTTAAAGTTCACTGTGGAATATGTCAATACTGGGGCTACTTGGTCCAATGTCTGAAATTTCAAGAATGGTAACATAAATTATGACACATGATTGAGGCACAGATAGTGGTTGTCAAACGAGTTGTATATCGTTCATAAAAAAATTTAAAATGAAACATTACGGCCAAAATCCTGTTGCTTAGCATAGCAAATCACATGAGAGTAGGCCCACTGAATCAGTAAGGCTTGGGTAGGCTAACTCCTCAATAAGTTTCATTAATTAAAATGGTCCTACTTTAGTTGCAACTTACTACACTAAAAAAAATCGCAACTAGAGTGGGACTGTTTGAGAAGGTGCATATCACGGGGTTGACTCACCAAATGCCAGCTGATTTGGTATTATGCTAAGCAATAGGATTTGAGCTATTTTTACTAACAAATAATCCATATAACAGGTTAACAATCAGTAAGAATAAATCTCAAGATTACAATCTGTTAAGAAGTCTTTTTCCCCCATATCCTCTTACTCAGGATAATGTTATCTGGGTGTTGAGCACTTCAGCACTAGTGATTAGATTCAGAGTCACACTGGTGGATAATGCCTGTAATAAGAGTAGCCAGGGAAATCTGCAACATATTGCCCCATATCCTGATGGGATCGTACATGAACATAAGATGAGTAATGTACACTGCCATGGCTAATTGAGGCTAGTTGACTGGAGTCTTCTGTGTGTGTACATGGCATGTGATCAGGACCACAAGCGAGCACATCACTGGCATCTATCTGACACCTAGTCAGCTGTAGCAACTTACAGGATCCCTCTTGAAGATACTGTACAGTATATAGAATCCCAAAAGAATTTAGCTCAATATTATCCCTTCTGCCATGTAACCGTAGCTGCTTCTGTAGTTGTAGGCTCACTACTTAGAAGTGGTTTATACCATAGTAGTTTGTAGCATTCTGAAGGGTGTTTCTTTAAATAGCTGAAAATCCTTCATACTTTAGTGGTTGTTGAAAAACAAGAAAGTAACAAGTTTCTTGGAACAGCAACAGTGATTCATTCCTTATTTAGAAGTAACTTCCCAAGTACTGTGAGTTACTCAGCCCATCACAGAGGTTCAGAAGGGACTTACCAGTCCAGTCACACCCAAGCACTTCCAATCGCATCCCAATTCCTGCTGGAGACCATTTTTCTGGGTGAACCCGGATGTACTGTGCAGGAACCGGATCAAACCGCCGAACGTCAGGGGTATCATAGTGTATGTTTCCTTCAAATGTCTTGGAAAGAGAAAAAGAGGTTAAACCTAAGCCTTCTTGGCTGCTCTCCACAAAACAAACAAACAAACAAACAAATAAACGAATGAACGAATGAATGAATGAATGAATGAATGAATGAATGAATGAATGGTGCAAGGAAGACTCTAACAAGGTGCTACAGCCGTCTGGGGCAGCGGTTACCCTTTCAAGAGTGTTTGAATTTTGTCTTTTATTGAGCAACAACCATGTCCACCCTAATAAATCAGAACAACCTGGAGAAACAAAGTGGTTACAAAACAATCACTGGAAAGAAGGAACATGGGAATGATGAAAAGCAACTTTTCAACTTTATCTGTTTGGTTTTAAAAAAACAAAACAAAACGTGTCTGTCAGCTTTTCAAATTACAGAAAAGCCTCCCATTAAGCATAGGTATTTTAGACCAAAACCAAACAATACTGTACCCCATAGTTACAGTATTTGGTTATCCAGGCTCAGTGGGCTGAGGAGTTGATTTGAGGAGAGGAGGTAGCATTAAAACAGTTTTTCAAGAGTCGGGGAGACTACCGTAAAGAAGAAATAGTACACCTCTTTCCCATCACCTTTGAGAGAAGGTCAAAAAGTGTGTGTGACTGGGGAGGGGGGAGAAGGCACTGCACCAAAGCTGGATAGGATTATGATGAAACGTAAGTTGCAGATGTTTCTACTAAGGACCGACATTTGTGCAGGGAAGCTGCAGAACCTTCTTCCCTGGAGCTTTTTTTTAAAAAAAGAATCTTGATGTTGTAAGGGGGGGGAGGGCAACAAACAATTCCTGGATCACATCCATTTGTGAAACTGTTAGTAAGCCTATGTTCATCTGATTACCACTCAGTTACATTTGCCCACTACAGAGACAGTATCTTGGCTACCTTTTCCCAGCCTAGTCTCCTCTAGGTGTTCTGGACAACACATTTCAGTATCTAGAGCAGTGGTCTCCAACCTTGGGCCTCTAGATGTTCTTGGACTTCAACTCCCAGAAATCCTGGCCAGCAGTGGTGGTGAAGGGTTCTGGGAACTGTAGTTCAAGAACATCTGGAGGCTCAAGGTTGGAGACCACTGATCTAGAGAACACCAAGCTGGAGAAAGTCTGCCCCCTAGATCTAGAGCTTTTAGTGTCTTTTAGGAACCATTTACAAGCACAGCACTGTGAGTTAAGCACACCCATGGTTGGGAGCCTGGCCCCAAATATGCCTTAAGCACCTAACCTCAGCTGCAATGGAGATTCGTGTGTAAAAACACAACAGAGAGAACATTATCTTCTGATGTCTGTGGTGGCCAAATGATTAAGAAGCAAAGAAGGGGGGGGAGGGAGAGGGAGGGAAGCCTTGGTGCTGCACCCAAAGTGAAAAAGCCAGGAAGGTTACCTTTAAAACAAGTTTGAACTAGAAGGCAAGTATCTGAGAGTCAGCTAACTGGTACAGTAGGTTAAATTACAGCCGTGCAGGTTTGCTTGAGAACCAGGCAAGGCTGCCTCTCCCCCTCCCCTCTCCAGGATGCCAAAGCTTGTGTCCAACAGAAACTTCCATCCAAGAGAGAAGTCTGCTGCTGCCAAGCAGAATATAGCCCATCAGACAAAACCACACAGCATGCTTTGGCACAAAATGTGCATCCCCTTAGCCAGATCCTGATCCCAGATATATTGTCTCAAATCTGGTATAGTTCTACTGTACTGACTTCTTATGTAAACACAACTGGTTTCTGGCTCTCTGTTTTTAATAGGCCTTTTCTCTCTCTCCACATTTCTACAGTATTCCAAAGGACATTTCTCTTTGAAGCCATGTTGACCAATTCAAGGAATAAGTCATCAGGAACACAGCCTAGTCTTTTCATAGGAATTAGATCCCCAACCCCTCTGGATTAAGGTCATTACAGTGATGCAAAAGCTCAATTCTGTCGAATCATCAATAAATAAGAACATCCTTCAAAAAAGGGGGAGAAATGAAGCTGGACTTTCAATAGCCTTACAAAAGTTTATCTAGAATATTTTTCAGTTGCACAAACTGCACATCTTTCCAGCCTAGAAACCCAGCAAGAGCAGAGTTTGACAGCGTGTGTCCTCAGTTCTGTCAGAGACATGGCTGCTCACTGAATTAATGAGGCCTCTTAAAGAAACAGGAATCCCTAAACCACAGCAAAAGGGGGCGTGGGAGAGAGTCATATGGCCTTTGTACGCAATCTGAGGGCAGGAGTGGACAATACTTTTATTAGACGACTAGAAATCACAAACATAAGCTAGCTGTTGATCCTCTTAAAGGTCTTCATCGGGCTGAGCACCAAAAAAACTCTGGATGGGGCAGAAAAAACATGACAGTTACAAAAACCATGGCTAGATGTGCCAGCCAGGCTCCTCTCTTTATAAATAAGTTTTAAAATGGAATGGGGGCCTGTAGACTCAGGTGAGAGGTGCAGGTTCCTGATTCCACCTCTGATGGTCTAGACGGGGATGTCTAACTCTTTGTCTAAGAAAGTTGGGAGAAGCATTTCCAATCCAGGAACCAGATCGCTCTTCTTTCTCACGCTTTGCCTCTATCTGGCACAAAACCTTCTAAGTGCTCACTGTTCTTTACAGCCCACCCTGGTGTGATCAAATTGTGCTAAGGGAGAACCATCAGAAAGGAGTAACAAAGATGGCATTTGCATAAAATGGCTTATGTTAAAATAGGTAGGGATGCTAAAAGTACATAGGATGAAAACGATTTTCATAACAGAGAAACAATTTCAGTGCACCTCACTCAAGTGGCAAGGACAGTGGTGTGTGGGGGGGGAACTATGTGTCTGCTGTCAAGGTGCTCCCTGTGGAAGGCCAACTTCAGGGTCCCTAACCTCCTATTCTTTGGTTATCTCTCTGTAACTCAGACTTCTTCTGGACACCCCTTCAACCACAGCACAGCTACAAAAGGAGGACTGTCCTTTATTGGCTCTGAAAACACTGTTCTCTGTAAAATAAGACATGTGACCACATTAGATTTAATGTCAGGCCTGTGTTCTCCCTACTCCCAAATACCTATGGAGAGTGTCCATGTCAGAAAATGTTATTCCAGAGCCTTTCTCTGTGACCTCTAATTGACTTTGTATTATGAGGATTAACCAGGTCAGCATCCATCTGCAGCCTGGAGTAGAAACAAAGAGAGATGATCTCCATCTCTCAAGACCTAGTCAGAGGGTGGTGAGGTAGGCCTCAAGGCTCTGCCGAATTCCAGTTGCTTCCAGTGGTTAGACCAATGACCTTACAGCAGCAAGAGCAAGAACTTCCTGGTGTTCTCTGGGTATGGATGGGACTTGGGAAAGAGAGTGTCACACCACGTACCACACAACTACATGTGCCCAAAACAGGAGAAAGGGACTATTTGTTTTCCTGCTATTCAAAGGAAATTTTATAGATGTATCATATTTAAGGAAACCTTTTCATTTACACAAGTGTCGTGGGCCTGTGGAATCATTCCTTTCAGATTTTGTTAAAACATATGCTTACACTGAAATGTTATCTCCAAATAGTAAATGTCACTCTGGAGAAAAAACAAACTAACTAACAAGCAGATATTCAAGGCAAGATGCAAGGAAGAGAAAAACAAATGTTGATGCACAGCAGTTTCATGTCGATCTCTGCCTCCTCGGGGAGAAGTCTTACCTTAACTTGCATTTTGGGATCCCGTATATATTCCCAGTCTTTCCCATTCATGCTGTAGGTCACTTTAAACTTCTTCACAAAAGCTCGGGCCTCTACCACATTGATGCTGTCTCCACCTCGGGCCCCTTGGATAATCACGCCTTTCACATTTTTCGGGACTCCCAGGTCCACCTGCAGCCACTCGTCCTGGGGCTGAGCTTGAGGGATGCGTGGGAACCATCCTGAGCGGCTGCTGACCAGGCGCGCAGCACTGGGGACCCAATGGTACTCTCTGGTAGAGGAAGCAGAGATCTGGGAGTCTGGGATAAGTCCAGAAAGCATCCCCAGCATGTTTGAACATGGTGAATCTGTGCAGATAGGAAGAGACAGGGGCAAAACTAAGTATAACACAAAACACAGGTTTAGGAGGTAAGGATCACAACAGTACAGGAGAAGTAACATCCCACTGTGACTAACTGCTAGGTAGTGAAATGTCAAAACACTTAAACCAGCTGTGCTTTACTTTATAACAGCTATCACGGGCTGCAGGGGCCCCCTCAATGGATGCTCAGAACATCCTCACTATTGCGATCTTTGTCCAAATTACTTTCTGCTTCCAGCGAGCCTTGCCTTCCCAGCTCCGCCCCCCCTGGTCTCCTGAGTCGGCAGAGAAACATCACGTTTCTTCACAGCATCCTGGAGGCTGTTCCCATTCTCTTGAAAAATAAATGCCTGTTAACTCTGAGAAACAAACCACAACCAGAGACCGAAGTATCAAACAATTCGGAGGAAGGCTGCGGTCATGTGCTCTTTCTCTGTGATAATAAAATATGGCTGGAACCACACGTCGTGTGAGTGTGGAAGAAAGAGAGAGGCAGTCCTGAAGATCCTTCAGAAAAATCTGTAGCGTGAATTCTGGCCATGGCTCAGAACTTTCTAGAAAACATTCAGAATGAAGCTTGAGCTAAAAAGTAGAAAGTTGCAGCAATATTCCAAAAGAACCAATTTATGCTGTTATCATAACATCATCAGCTTGCAACAAAATGGTGCATGACCCAAAGTGTACTGGCATACACACATAAATAATTTGATTCTCCATCATCCTATGACTACCAAGTGATAAATTACATAGCAAAAAGCAGTAATAAGAGGAGTGTCATTTTGGTTTGAAAAACCATGTCCATAAATTCATGCCACGGTCAAAATGAGCAATTGGGTTCTTAACTATTGCAAGCACCCCTTTTTGTTACAAGCCTCTCTCTCTTTCTCTCAGCTGCAGCAGTTAACCCCATAAATGGACTGGAAGGCACAGATCATTTTAGAGAAGGTTTTTGTCACTTTTTCTCAACAGACTCCGTTTATACACCTGTTGTGAGTCACCAAGTACCAAGAAATGAAATGGCGTAAATGAAAGTGTGAACTCATGCTGAATGGAACAATTTTCATAATATTTTATCCCTTTTTAGGAAAAGGTAGACTTTTTGCATGTGTGTTTTGCTTCTGTGTTCAGTGTCACAGGGCGCCATACTTCAGAACAGTTAACAACTGGAGGAAATGGAAGGAAAAGGAGAACCCACATTCATTTCCTGCTGACAGATATTACTTCATTTGGCTCACTTTGGGCTTTTATATGTGACAAACCATTATTTGGATAACATGAGCTAACATGAGCAGATTTGACATGGAAAATCTTGCCTTAATGCACAGTTACACACTGCAGTCAAAGTCACACGGGCTACTCTGGGAGCACCAGGGCCTCCTTCAACCACTTGGCTTGGATGTTTTTCAACTGCTGCCCTGGGGTGATTCCCGGCCATCTGTACCTTCATATTTAAAACACACGTTTTAAAAAATGGAAACAGCCACTAAAAAGGGTTGGGGTAGAGCTGATAACTGCAGCAAATACCAATGAAGGCTTTTCCCTCAGTGGAAAGTAAGCAACATTTTTTAAATCAAGACTGCAGCGGGGAACAATATAGTTAAATTTCCCACACTCTGCACCTTCCCCAGTACCTGTTATTTTTTTTATTTGCATTTTTAAAAGGGACATGCTCAAATGTGAAGATCTATCTAGACTATCTATATAACAGTATTTGATAGTAGCCAGTGACTCCTACTGGACCATTGGCTGCTCCTTGACTAGGGCTGATCAGAACTGCAGTCCAAAAATATATGGAGGACACGGCACTGGGAAGACTCTCTCGGTGCACGAGCATATCACACACGACTGGTGTGACAATGAACCAAGAAGGGACCTGTGTCAGCACTCAGTGCCTCAGCAAATGCAACTGCAGCTGAGGTGTGATTTGAGGGATCCTATACCTGTAGGGGGAAAGGGCATTTAGGCATTAGCAGCCTGGTGCTACCTCTGCCTGACTGGGCTTACAGCTATACTGTTGTCAACTGCACAGTACCTGAAAACCTCTTTAAATGGTTTTATTTTATTTTTTTGAGGGAGGGAAGAGAAATTATTTTTAACTGGGTGGTTATTTTTCTCCCTTTCTTGCATATGAAAAGTTGGAACTGAGACAACAGTATCAATTTCCATGCTAGGAGAAGTGTGGCCTTCCAGTTATTGGTGTAGTGTCTCCCCCTCAGGACTAGCCAGCAGAGCCCGTGTGCGTGTGTAGGATAATGGGAGTTGTAGTCCATCATCATTTGGAGGATTACACATTCCCCATCTCTGCTTGAGAGGTAAGGTCTTGAGTGGACTCTGGGTGCTGACTGGATTAAATAAGGGCTGGGTAGATCCCACACCTAAAACTTGTGAAGTCCCAAAAGATACCAGTTGTTTTACGGGACTCCATTTGAGCTGCCTCGGCACAGGAAGCTGGCTCAGTTGTAGCTGTAGCTGGAGAGAACTGCCACCACTGTGGGAAAAAAAAATCCAAGGCTGGTGGCCTGTTTTCTTCTGACATACACAGGAATGTCTTGCCCAACAAAGAAATGGCAATAAAAATACCCACCAGTGATCCGGCAGCCGTAGAGTTCTAGTCGGAGGGCGATCCCATTGTGCCACTCTTGGGGGCGGATCCGCACAAACCGAGTCAGGACTGGCGTGTGGATCTTATTCAAAACTACTTCTGTAGCATCTGTGTTGGCCCGGAAAACCTGGGGGATGCAGAAAGCAAGGGAGAGAGAGAGAGAGAGAGAGAGAGAGAGATGATCAATAGACTTTTAGACTGTCCCGATCGGAATAAGAAGGGTTGGAGTTACAAGGGCAATTGAGGAGGAAAGTGATTGTTCCAATGGGAATATAGAGGATCATGGTGGACTAAAGTGGTCAACTTTTCAATTGGCTCCTGCTCCTGTGCCTGGAACAACAGCCTAATCCACAGAAGTTTGCCAGTGATAACCTATGAAGAGACTCACCCTTCTTCAGATCAGGTTGCTGCTAAAGGTAAAAAGTGGTCCAAGATGGACAGATTAATTCTCCTGCCTAGTTGGCAACGTGAAACAGGACTATTCGGACCACAGCTTTGTTCTACTCTGTTGTGACAGCAAGTTAAATGAAATCCCAGACAAATCAATTAAATAAAAAAGAGCTTCTGGTTTGGGATGGACAAGTCTGAAACGCCTTGGCATAATTCCCAGGAGTGCAAGATGCTCAAAACACTTCTAAAAATCTAAGCCCACTTGCCTGAAATAGAGCATACAAGCAAAAATTAGCAGTATTAGTTGAACTACTGACTTTACGCATTTGTGCTTCAGTTTCAATATTTACAAAGTGGGCGTAATAATTATTATCTTTTGTAAACCTTGCTGATGCAGATTCGAATTAGCCCATTAATAATAATTGAGTATTACTGCAATGTGGACATTTAACTTTCTGCCATATAAGTAGCATTCTCTCTAAAGAGAAGCATGCCAGTCATTTCTTTTCCATGCACGTTCATCTGCATGCTCTCTCTCTATCGCCCTCACACTCACAGACACATACAAACACACACACAAGAAATATATTATATATATTTTTTGTTAACAAGACCCCTGTTTGGCGCAACGTATGTTGCAGCATTATTCAAACAAACTCCTATCTTACCAGATGGTCAAAATCAAAAATTACCATATGGACCATCTCTCTCCCCCACTTCGACTTTCCTTTCACTACTTTAATAGCTTGGGTAAGTGTCAGCAAATTTTGTTGCAGTCTTTGTCTTCTATGTGGAACAAGAAGAAAGACACAAAAACATTTAGAAAGAAACCTGCCACGCTACCACCCTCTAGCATTTAAAGCTTTGCTTTTGGAACACATTCTCTGTATGAGAAGGTTTGTTGGTGGGGTGGGGTGAACTTCACAATTAGGCCGTTGTCAGGTTTTTTTTAGGCTAGAAAATCCAGTTTTCTTACACTTTTCCTTTAGTATAGTTTGCCTAATACAGAGGAAGCACCACCAATTTTGCACCTGCCTTCCCCTACTTCTGTTCAGTGTTAGGTTAAGGACAGCTGGATCTAGCTAGCACCATCTGCAAATCATAATTTTTTTAAAAAAAAGTTAAACCACTTAATCTTTGGAGTCCTGGGACTCAAGACAAGGCACTGTTTCAAAAGCCAGTGGCATTTCCCTCATATTTCAAAGGTAATATTAAAATAATATTGCAGATGTTTCCTCTGGGTTTGAAACAATTAACATTTAGCCATCCTGAGGCAGGAATCGTTTGCCAGGGTCCGTGTGTAGCGCAGGTGCACAGCCCCTCGTTTCGACTTGTTCTCTGCACCGGATAGCCAGGCCAAAGCATGGAGTATAGGGCTGCGGAATGTCTGGCATGGCTGGATTCCAAGTCTCTTGAGCCCAGGCACAGCTCACGCCTGGGGAGAGTCTTTTTGTCCATCCACCGCCCAAGACCCAGTCCTGCTTTACAGATAAAACTAGGCCCCCAAGAATATACATACCAAGGGCATTCCTTTACCAGTCCATAACCACCGACAGCATCAAAAAGGGCCGACGGCAAGGGATTTTCAGGGCAAAATGTGTTATTTACAGGCAGCCTCACGACAACCGCCATTTCTGTAATCAACACCTTGTGGATCAGAAGAAAAAAAAATTCCTGCTGCTAAAGTGTGGCAAGTCACAGCCCACAACTAGAATCCTGTCGGTGATTGAGTAAGGTTTGTGTGACTTGCCATGATTAACAGCCGCCGGGTAAGGTGCGGGAGCAGATCTCAGCTGCATGCCTGGTAACATGCCCAGCTGGTGCAACCGAGACCGATCCTGGCATCTTATCAGTTGGCCACAGCAGGTTGATCAAGCCTTCAGCAAACACCCACAGGATTCCATCCTATATGCCTACATGACCAGAGATGACAGTGATGATACTGAATCCTTTAAAAAAATGTCTGGGTCCCAGCAAACACATGGCTCTGACCACTGTAAATACTCAGCACATGCAGAGATATAAAAGAATTGACACGATCCATAATTACTCCATGAAAAAAGAATATACACACAAGAATATACACACATCACCCCCTCCACACATGGTGTGTAGCTTGAGATTGGAGGGATTCTTCACGATTTCTTATTCAGATGAGTTGTTCTTATTTACTGCTGCTGCTGCTCCTCTCCAGTTATAGATCAGGCATTGTTGTGGCTATTTTGACACTTGATGCAGCAGCTCTAAGCAACTACATTGTGTTGCATCCAAACGAGCTTCTGCCATTTCTCAGCCAATGGGTTCTTCTCATTCCTATACCTCTATTTCCATTTATTCATGTTGCCTCTTTAACTACATCTCTCAGGCTGCTGTCCTGGTCCCTGCTGGGCAGGCTCCCAGTAGCAACACACAAGTAGATGGGCAAGGAAAATCCACAAAACAAAGCCAGTCTCAAGACACAAAGAACAGCCTCTCAGTGAATAACATAAACCTTCTTTGGATAACTACATGGGCCAAAGTAAGCTTGCTTTTTGCTGCACTCAGAAGAGAAATTGCAGATAGGCATGGGGCTTTGGGGTCACAACAAATGAACGAAAGTACAGAAAAGGCAGTCATATTTGTTTTTCTTGTCTTCCATTGCTTTCTGAAAAAGGAAGGAAGGAAGATAGTTTTTTTTGAGATTCTCATTTATAATTTTTCTGTAATATTGGTGCATAGTCCGAAGAAGTGGACTTGACCCATAAAAGCTCACTGATTGCTTGATGTATATATATTTAGTAGTCTAATAAAAATAACAAGACACAGTTTATAATCTTGAGTTTATAAGAACTGAGCAGGGTTGTTTCAGCCAGGGCATTTTGGACATCATTCATTCATAGGGCTGCCAAAAATTGGAGGTGACTTGAGGGCACGCAACAACCAACAATAATAATATCATTTCTCCCGCATCAAAATTACTAATCATATTTTTGACGAATGTGAAGGATGTGGATCATCCGTCACCTTCATTCACCACATGTACGCGAAATCACTTCATATCTACTGTATATTTCAACAGCCCGCCTGATCTGCTCTGCCCTTCCTTTTACTTGGCTAGCCTCACTTCCTTGCCCAACCAGCCTGCCCCACTGCTCTTCTTTCCCCTCCTTCCCACCACTCCTTAAGATTGCCTGGCAGCCAGCCCACTTTTTCCCTCCTGCCCAGTGCTGTGAGGGTCCTCTGGCCTGGCCAAGCATCTCTTGATCCTCCTTTTTGCTGCCACACGTGTCTGCTTTCTCAGTTAGTCCCATCATGCTTTCCCCTCTTTCCTGCCACAGCTACCATGCATGTACAGTATATCCTTTTCCAGTCCACCTTGCCAAAACGACTCAAAAGACGAACCCCTTTTCATGCAAAACTAAAGAAGTGATGCACAGAAGAACCAAAAATGGAACAGCCATCCTCCCCAAGCAAACTGAACCAAAAATGAAATGAAAGTTTCCATCACACACATTTCTAATTGCAGATGCTAATACAGTAAGCGAAGTGAACTGATGAGATGCTGCTGTTTGCATGCTAACTGCATGCCTGTTCATATACCTGGCAGATGACTGGACCTTGTGAATTAGTTTCAATTAGCCAAAGTATTTTCCCTGATATTTTTGGCCTTGTACGTTAAAACCTTGTAAGATTCTGACTCTTGGGTCTAATCAGTTTAACTATAAGCAGCAAACAGGCAGAGAGATTCCAAGAGATGAATGCCAAGGTCATACACAACATGATATTCACAGCAAGGATCAGGATGAAAGGAGTACACAAGTTCAGGAGAGAAACTGACAATACGGGAGCTAAGGTCTCTTCGTAGCTCTATGTTCTCCATTATCTATTATTCAATCTTCACTGTAGCTTTTTGGTTGCTAGTATAATTTGCCAACTATACAAGTCAAAACATTTGTTTATGAACAACTCTGTCAGCTTATTGTGTTGGGCTTCGTAAATAAAACAAGAATACACGTGTTCATGTCATAGCACCTCTTCTCAAGTGCATGTAAGCTGAGTGGCGGTTCCAAATCCTCCTCTGAATCAAAACTGCATATCACCTGCTCCTTCTTTGCAGTTCTTGGCAATTCTGTCATACATTTTTTAAGAAACGGTAAGCAAATAGCTCGTTAAGCTTACTGTTATGTACTCACTGCAAGCTTTGGCTTTTCATTTTCAGGTAATGTAATAATGATTGGTTTAACTGAATTCCAGGAATATTCTGTTCTGAAGATGTCATTAATGAAAAATTTAAAACATTTAAGTCATCATCTTCAATTAGATTCAATACCTCTGTGGACGTGGTGGCGCTGCGGGTTAAACCACAGAACCCTCTGTACTGCAAGGTCAAAAGACCAGCAGTCGTAAGATTGAATCCACGCAATGGAGTGAGCTCCCGTCGCTTGCCCCAGCTCCTGCCAACCTAGCAGTTCGAAAGCATGTAAAAATACAAGTAGATAAATAGGTACCGCCTTGGTGGGAAGGCAACGGCATTCTGTGTCTAGTCGCGCTGGCCACGTGACCACGGAATCTGTCTTTGGACAAACACTGGCTCTATGGCTTGGGAACAGGGATGAGCACCCCGCCCTAGAGTCGGACACAACTGGACTAAATGTCAAGGGGAACATTTAACCTCTGTGGAAACATTATGTCCAAGAGCTTTGCCATTTTTGGTCAGTCATAATGTACTTCAGATTTCTGAAATTCTGATCAAGTATT